AAAATACAAGAATGATATACAGGCTTCCATTTCCAGAGTACATTTACCATTCCTGTTGAAAGTTAGCATGGCAAGAAAAACAAAATTGAGGGATCTACATTACTCTCAGCTGAGGAGGTTGTGCACGAAAAAAGAATGCTAATACCTATTAGCTTAGCATAAATTATAGAGTAGATCATACCCAAAAGCCACTGTGGCCACAACAACTTGTATTTTAGAAGAAATCCAATCATCTAAAACTGAGCTCCGCAGTTTATTATTCAAGCCAGCGTGGTAAGCTGAAAAAAACACCAGTGTGAAAAGGGAGTATACCATCACTAACACCTGTCATAAAAAAATTAAAAAAGAATATTCCCAGGGAAAAGAAGTGTAAGAGAATATTAACTACCAGCAGAGGAAATGCCATTTTTGGAAAGATGAGCAGACAAGCCATCACAGGTTGTTCGTTCAAGGCAGTAAACAATTGCACAGACATCCCCACAAGATTTGAGTACAGAGGATAAGTCAGCGTAGGCATCATCCAGAAGATCTTTGCATCGAACTGCGCTATTGAGAAATTCACTTAGATGCACATGCAGTTGGACACAGGTTGGGAATGAGGTTTAGTTTGGAATATTCTAGCTGATAAACTTGAGCTTATGAGATATATTTTCATTCCTGATACAAGCTAGCAGAACCCACCTTCATAATAAATATTTGGACGATTAAAAGAAGATTTGAGAACCAAAGGGTCTTGCAGACATAATGACTTTATCACATCGTTCTGAACTCTGCAGATAAAAATAACAACTATAGAATCATTAAAGCTCTCTGCTCCCTTCTTCAGAAAATGAAACTGTTATCTCTTATGATTTAGAGTGATGTAAGACCGTTGAGAGTAGAGAACAAATCCAGTTCTTCTAAAAACGTACTTGGGAGCAGCTGTAGCTGTCAAAGCCAGGACTGGTACATCTGGAAGGTGATTCCTCAAAGATGAAAGCTTACGGTAGCTAGGCCTATTCAAAGCCAAAAGTTAGAAAATAGGCAAAAATAAAACATAGTTAAAAAAATTCCAAGATGCAAAAATTCAGTAAAGAGTACCAAGAAATTCCAACTTTTTTACTTCATACAAGAATAACTATCACTCGACACTCAAGACAGGGAAACAAACTTCTTATTACATTTATATACATGTTTGATTGCGTAACTGCATTGAAGCAAATTGTGCTATACACACAAACTAGCCCTGCTAGTGGCTCTATTGACAAAAATCACATCAATACCTTGCACAAACATTTAATGGAATAAAATTGTCCTCCTGGTAGAAGAAAAGAACAGGGAAAAAAGTCAACTCCTTCATTACCCAAACCAGTTACACACCTGAAATCATGACCCCATGATGAAATGCAATGTGCCTGAAATTTATCAAGAGAGAAGAAAAGGCGGAATGATAGACACGAGTCTCAAAGTTAAACCTTTGTTAATATAAAGAGTATCTAAGTTTTCATCATTTAAAAAAATATATATATTAAGTTCACACTTCATCTATGGCAATGAGATTGAACAACCCTCTGGTGTGAATCTTTGTCAGCTTCGACATAAATCCTGGTGTTGCAATTAATTCTGGTGTTACATACAGCAGCCTCACAGATGGTTTTCCAGAGTCCAGATCTTCATGAATCTAACAGTGACAAAAAAGACGGTCATTAATTTATAAATATAATATCTTTTCAACTGTTAATGTCCTATATACATTATAAAGTTAAAAGAAAAAATAAGATAGCAGGCAAGCAAAACAAGCAATGGCATTATAATAGGCAATCCATGAAATACAATCCTGTTTCCTAGCTACGAGTCAAAATCATGCTAAGTGCTCGTTGATGTATACAAATTATGACACATTCCCCATATCTAATACATTCTAGTTACAACAGCACAAGGTTTTAGAAAACCACAACTCATAAACAATCACAAGCATTTCAACGCCAAGACTTGACAAATCACAATTCCCAAACCCAATATGGCACAAGAGCCCATCACCAACGTGCATCCTTTCATCAAAAACATCGTAAAATAACGGTTCTGAAAACCAATAAAGGGCAAGAACAGACACCAAAACTCACTTTATTTCTAACACTTGATGTTTGAGTCGATGAAAGAAATTCAGCTGCAATTCCTTTCTCCTTCAAGGCCATCACTTGGTTCTCCTAAAAAAAATTATAATCAAAATCCCAAGAAAGCTCTTCCCAGTAAACCAAATACAAGAGAGTAAAATTCCAGCACGTTCAACTTACCATCAAGGCTGCAAGAAAAAAAAATGAAAGAAAAGAAAAGGACAAATTAGGGTTGAATCTAAAAAAAAAGAAGAAGAAGAAGAAAGAAAACAGCTTAATAAAATTAACAAAAATATAAAGAATTTACTCACCAATCAAAGGAGACACGACAAGAACAATCCCATGTTTAGCAAGAGCAGGAATTTGATAACACATTGACTTCCCTCCACCAGTTGGCATCAAACAAAAACAATCCCTCCCTACCAAATTTTAAAAAAAAAATAAAAGGGGGGCAACATGAGGTTTTGTTTTCGAGATAGTAAGAGTAATAGTTTGTGTTTAAGACCTGATAAAACAGCTTCAATGGCTTCTAACTGTTTGCCTCTAAAATCTTGATACCCAAAATGCCATCTTAAAAGCTTCACTAGTGTTTCTTTTCTTGTTCTCTTTTCATCCATGCTGCTTGTGTTTTGCACCATTGGCAACGGTGACTTCCTCATGTCTACTTAAAAAATAACAATGATAATAATCTGCAAACAAGAAATTAAGAATCAAGACGAACAGACCTTCGTATTATTTATTACCTTTATTCTTTTTCTTTTTCTTTGTTTTTTTCCCCTGCCTTCTCCCTTTTTATGTTCCTAGAAAGAGAGAATTTTGTTTCTTGTAATCTGCCCATTAGGCTGACAGGTCGTTCGTTGGTCTTTGGCCAGCATCCAAGGAGATAGGTTTATTTTTCATATTATTATCCTAAGTTAATCTGAAAATCCTTTAAAATGTACCTCATAAAATGTTTTTTTTTGTGATTTCATTTTGCAATTAAGTACATATTTATTTTTTAGAAAATTACTTTTCAAATTTTCCTGAAAAATTTTTTTTTTTTAGCTGTGTTTGGTTTTCATAAAGTAGTTTCCGAGAAAATATTTTCCAAATTTTCTTGTATTTATTTGCTGATAGGAAAGTTAGTAAACGAAAAATATTTTCCAGTCAAAAGAAAATTTAACTTAATTTTCAGGAAAGTATTTTTCTGAAAAATTTGGAAGGAAAACACTTTCTAAAAGTTATGAAAACTTAGAAATGTTATTATTTGCTGATTATATCAAATTTGATCCTCAAACTTTTGATTGCTATAAATATTTTTTTAAAAATATTTATTTTTCAATTTCATTTCTTAAAATTTAATTTTTATATTAACTGTATTTTTCAGTTCATTTTCCATAACATTATCAAACATCGAAAAATAATTTACTTTTCAAGAATTTATTTTTTTTGGAATTCATTTTCTAGAAATTTATTTTCTTTGAAATTTATTTTTTAAAAAGAACAATTTTTCTACGAACAAATAAAGCCTAAATGTATTTCATTTGAAAATTGTGTTGCTTGAATGATAATGCAATTTTTGTAATTATTGGACGATGATTGCAAATATCATGTGATCCTAAACCTCTTGATTATTGTTAAATTTCAATATCAAACGAGGTATAAGATATGTGAGGTTTTTTTTATTTGATAATGTTGTTGATCTCGGAAAAAAAAGAAAAAAAATCAATGTTAAATGATTTATGAATTAAAAAAATGATAAATATAAAGATTTGAAAAAAAATAAAAAAAATAAAAAAATAACTTTATGTTTGTTTACTGAAAACTATTTTTTATTTTTTTATAAAATATTTTATAAAAAATTAATCAATATAAAATATTTTATATTTAACTTTCAAACTTAGTTTATTCATTAAAAAAATATTTATAACTCATAAAAGTTTTTAAAATATATTAAAAATAATTTACTTACAATATTAATTATTATTATCTTATTTTTTATTATCATAATTATCTTATTATTATTTTTATTATTATTATTGTTATTATCATCACGGCAACATCTTTTTTACTCCTATTGTCATGTCACACCTCTAATGCAAGTATTTTACATGTAAAACCTTAAGTGAAGTTAATGATAGAAAGTGATTTCATTTCATTTTTATATTTGTATATTTTTTTAAAAAGTAAATTTAAAAATTAATTAGTGGTATTTAATGTATTTAGCGTTATAATAACTTTTTTAATTGTGGTTTAAAATTTTAGTTGGGATTTTAAAAATAAAATAAAATATATATTATGTTAAAAATTGCTACGAGATGAATTTTTACACATAAAATAAATAAAAAATAACTTATTTTAATTTTTACAAATTAAAATTTGAGATATAATTATACATGGAATAGAATATAAAAAATAAAAACAAAAGTCATTTAACTAAATATGGAATATAATATAAAAAATAAAAACAAAAGTTATTTAACTAATCAGATAGTTTTTCCTCTGCAAAAACAAACGATTTCTTAAGAGAATTGCTTTCGCACAAAGGAAAAGAGAGGGAGACCGTAAGTTTGGAATAATGTATTTTCACAACAATTGCGACTCTTCGTGTCAATGACATACATGATAGCTTGAAGTAGTTACAATCATTTCTTAGGTCTACGCCCTTTTATTATTTTTTCGTTTTTTTTTTTTTTTTTATGAGAGCGTGGATCTTCCTTATCAGTCGCCTTCTTTCTTTCGATGGCCAAGTATGCAGCAACTAAAACTAACAAGCTATGCTTATTAAGAAAACACAACGCAATAACCACCTCACCTCCTCCACTAGTACGACCACGAACACCTCCTTCACCACCATGATCACCACCTCATGAGGAGGCTCGTGCTGTTGAAATAAAACTTGAACAAGTTAAACTTGGTGCTAAAACATTAACAACGTGCTTGTTTCTCCAATTGAAGAGGTCCAGGAGGAGTCCTGCTTCTTCTCCTCCACAATTCTACTTGTTTCTTTGGCTCTCTAGGAATGTCTTCATCCACTTCCACTACAATAAACACCTTCTCTTTATCTCCGTTCTTCTCATCATATGAACTATTAGTTGAGTTATCTGGCATCCCTGAAACATCATGAGCCTTCCAATCAAAATCTCTTAACACGCCACAATTGCTCGAGAACTGATTCATGTGACCTAAAGAAGGAGGTTTATCTGCAACAGGCGGCCTCCCACGAGAGGTATGATCAGATTGCAGACCTTGTTTCTTTCCTTTGAAAACGGTTGGTGTTGGTTTAGGACAAGAGTCTGACTTAGTTGCTTGCGGTTTTTTCTTGCTTTTGTTCTTGACTTTGCCCGTGCATGAAACTTTTGGGGAAGTGGGCTCTTGTGCATCATCAAAGGTTCCACTCCTAGCGTTTCTTCTAGCCTCCTTTGGAACAAGCGATACGATCCGACCAGACAAACCTCTGTCAGTATTGGCCATGCGAGGGCTGGTTGGTGGACTCTGGAACGTGACAGGAGATGCTGCTTGCGGAAGACAGGCGAAGACACTGAATTTTGATTTCCTTCGTTTCCCCATCAAGAAAGAAATTGCTTCTTGATTTCTCTTGCTCTGCTATCTATGTATTCTTATGGTGGATGGGAAAACCCAGAAGCTTATTTGAAGCTTTCGAAACCAATGATATTGGTTTTCCTGACTTCGTCAAGGACTGCGTCGCATAGTGCAGAAAACTAATGCCTGAAAGAAACCACCTCCATTGCCGGCCGAAGCTAGTAATACTATAAAAGAACCACACTCCATGAGATCAGTGCCAGGGAGCGGATCTGACTTTTTGATAGCAACCTCCTTCCCATAAAATAAAGATTAAATTAATTGGGAAAAGACAGCAGGAGAGCTTGACACTTGGCAGACTTGTTCCCGTTTTTTGGATGCCATTATTATTATTATCATTTTTTTTTTGCATCTCAAATCACAGGGTGGCTTCGTCCATAGACCAAAGGTCATCCTTGTGCCATCCAGCTACATTTCTATTCCTCACAAGGCAAAATACTTTGCCATCACGAATCATCTAAATTCGTTAACATAAAATTACTGTTTATTTTTATGTTTTTTAAAAAATTAAGTATTTTTTATTTTTTTCAAATAAATATTTTTTAATATTGTTAAATTATTTTGATGTAGTAATATTAAAAATAATTTAAAAAAATAAAAAATATTTTAAAAAATAAATTATAACCACACTCTCAATCAAGATAAATAAATAAAGTGGATTAAGGGGTTTGCTTCTTTTATGGTCTCAGGTTCGAATCCTTAATTGCTAATTTATATGATCGTTAATTTCAAAATCCGTAGGATTAGTTGTAGCACACATAAATTAATCTGGATATTCATGTTAATTTTAAAAAAAAAATAAAGCTGTAAATGTTTAGGACCAAAGGTTTGCTTGGTTTCTTCTTCCATGTTTTATGCTCTTTTTTTTAGGTTTTTCTTTCTTTTTCTTTTTTTTTCAATTAGATTATTAAATTATTTTGATAATCTAAATAGATTTAGAAATGATTTTTTTTATATTTATTTTGTTTTTTTTATCAATGTATTTATTATTATTTTTTTATTTAAATTATCACTTAAACTAATAAATTGAAACTTAAATTTTTTTAACTTGATAAAAATTATTCCTCTTGTAGTAAAACACGAGCAATATATCTAATAAATTTTTTTATACTGTAAATCAATTATTACTCGCTATCATTAAAGCAATGTTTTTTTGTTTTTTTTGTAATTTTTAATTGGATTCTCAAATTTTTATTTTTTATGATAGTGCTATTTTAAGCCTAAATTAATATGGTTTAAAAGATAAGAGGTCAAAATAAAAATAACATAGATGAGAGCTTGCATGTTGTTTGGGAAGTACATTTTCATCTCCCATTTTTTTGTGTTTTTAGATGATCCATCCCTTTAATTTTAACAAATTCTACATTGATGTTAAAACAACAAATATAAAACTTTTTTTCACTTTTAACCTCGTACAATCAATTGACTTCAATTTTAATTTATTTGGTGGTCAGCATTGTTATCATTGAATTGTCTTTTTTAAACTATTTTTTAACTAATACCCCCTTGTGTCACTTTTTTTTTTTTTTGGCTTATCTAGCCTTTCATTATTTTATCAACACCAAGAAAAATGGTTTTCCAGTAACATAATTCCACCAGATAAGTGTGGAAACTTACGGAGCGTGGTACTTCTGTAACTATGGAGATACACCAAATGAAGAAGAGAACCATATACACTTGAAAAAGTAACCATATTTTCCGAAAGAAACTCAAACCCCACTCATGAAAAGAAAATAAGCTTACTCTGAAAATTCAGCTCCACTTAAAACAGAGTACACTATTATATAGGAATATTGAACATCACGGAAACTATGGAATAAATATCTATGGAGGAGGATGGATAACCTGCAGCTTCTGACATTTCCAGATCAAGGCCAGCCAATTTCTTGGAATCTGCAAAGCAAACAAAATAAGAGCAGAAATCAGGCTGTGCTATCCTAGAAGTGCATATACCATTCCCTCATTCTAAGATTTTCATTTGGGTATCAAATGTTCTCATTCAAAAAGATGAAATGCCATGCATGAATCATCGCCAAGAATGGTCTAGCATTACCGAAGGAGAATCTAACAAGTTGACAGAATACTTGTTACAGTGACAACCATTACACAGCTGATAGAATAGATCACAAACTGTGAGTAAATGAGGGATCGGAAACCAGGATTGATAACGCCATCAGTACTTGGACCAGAAACTACTTCTCAAGTCTGGAAAACAAACTATTTTAGGCACTGAGAATAAAATAGCTCATTCATTATCTTATTTCAGGGACACTACGAACAACTTCAAAATCCATGTTGTCTGCTGCACCTCTCAACATTATAATTCAGAAAACTTCACCAATGTTGACGAAAGTTTTATATCCAATACACAGGCCAAGAGTTTGAATAACAACCTGATTTTACTACTCACTGAGCCCCTTTTTTCATTAAATGTTATGTCTCATCGAGTGCCCTTGCCATCCTTCTTGTCTCTGTCACCCTTGGTACTTGTTTGAGGAGTGTATTGGCTGGTAGATGATGGCGAATACCCAGGGGCACTTGGTGAGTATCCTGCACTTGGACTGCGTGAAATACAAAACAATGCAGAAAGATTTTCATCAGGTTGCTATATTTAGATTAAATGCCGGACTTAATACATTGATTGAAAAATTGGATGGTGGACTAGGACCCACCTGTACTGTGGAGAACTTGGACTGTAGTCTGGGCTGACACCAGAATTATATGGACTGGGAAAACCAAAAGGAAGCATTAGAGCGCAACGTGATTAATTAAAGTTTTGGTAAGAAAAATCCAGTCAACATCCCTAGCAGCACACAAAGCGGAGGCAAACTAAGAATTACCTGCTAGGACTGTAGGTCGGACTTGAAGGAGAATATGATGGAGATGTTGGCGAATAAGAAGGTGATGTTGGGCTGCAACAAACGGATAAAAAAGCCAAAGATTTAGCAGCAGCATGATACTAATAATTCACCAAACTCAAATGCAATAACAAGATGGAGAACAAACTACTGATAAATTGTCATGTGCCTACCTATAATTTGGAGATGTTGGACTGTAAGGACTGGCTGGTGACAGTCTTGGACTGCTAGGTGAGTATGCCAGTGATGGGCTGTATTTTGCTGATTGGGGGTTGTAACTTGGCGAGGTTGGGCTGTAGCCAGGGGATGTTGGGCTATAGGCTGGTGAAGTTGGGCTGTAGGATGGGGATGTGGGGCTATATGATGGGGATGTAGGGCTGTAGGATGGGGATGTGGGGCTGTATGATGGGGAGGTGGGGCTGTATGCAGGTGATGTTGGACTGTATGCAGGTGAAGTGGGACTGTAAGCAGGTGAAGTTGGGCTGTAGCTGGGGGATGTGGGGCTGTAGCTTGGGGATGTCGGGCTGTAGCTCGGGGAAGTAGGGCTGTAGCTGGGGGATGTGGGGCTGTAGCTGGGGGAAGTGGGGCTGTAGCTTGGTGAAGTGGGTGAGTATGATGGGCTTGTAGGAGAATAGGCAGGACTAGTTGGGCTATAACTAGGAGAACTGGGACTATAAGTGGGTGAAGTTGGGCTATAATTCGGGGAAGCGGGGCTATAACTTGGTGAGGCGGGGCTGTATGAAGGTGAAGTAGGACTGTATCCAGGACTGTAGACTGGAGATGACGGGCTGTAGCCAATAGATGTTGAAGCAGGAGATGTACTAGGAGAAAAGGCCATTCCACCAACATAAGGCGAAAAGGCCACTCCATCTACAGTAGGTGACATGCGGAGATTTGGACTCATCAGCATGGGAGACATCATCCCATCATGATAAGGAGTCCCAGAAACTGGAGAACGAGCAGGTGTCATGCCAAAATCAAGGCCCTCCATATAACTAGGGAGCTGAAGCTCAATAGCATTCTTCAACATCTCATCGTTTAGATAAAGAGCACAATATCCAGTGCCAATTGGTGCAAGCTGACCCAGCATTATATTTTCAGTGACACCCCTCAAGTAATCTGTTTCAGCATATACTGCAGCATCAAGGAGAATGTCAACAGTCTCTTCAAATGAGCATCTCATCATTGGCCCAGTATCATTCCTATTAATACCATGACGAGTGATTGCCATCAAGTGACCACGGTAGGTCATCGTATCACACAGTATAGCCAGATGCCGGTAATTCACATAAGATCCATCAAACGAAATGACAACTCTCAATTCATCCAGTAGGGACCGACGAACAGCCTCAATTCCAAGCACTTCTATAACTTCAATTAAGTGATTGCTTGTTGTCTTTCGGGCATCAACATTTTCATTGCACATAACAGCCAGGAGATTGACACCCTCTGTATCCAGCATCCACTCCTCTGTAGTCTTAAATCCTTCACTCTCGTCAAACTTGCTTACCTTAGCATTTTTAATGAACACCTTGTTGATATCTGGGATACCACGAAGAGCCATTTCAGTCAGCATGTTACTCTCAATCTTTTTCAAGAAAACATCATCTTCAGCTGATTCATCATTCAACTCCCCCTTTGGAGCTTCATCGTTCATGATACGGATACGAAGAATCAGTTTCTCAGCATTGTCATCATTAAATATACAAGTCAAATCATCATCAAACTCATGATTGATCTTCTCAGCAATGTCAGCCATGTTTAGCTTCTTATCGATCATCATTTCACGGTTCAACTCTATGCGAAGCAACCAGGGAGATATTTTCTCCGGTGCAACCTCTTCATCTGGCATTTCATAGTATGACTTCACGAAGTCAGCATCCTCTTCAATTATAGTACTCATGGGATCTGGATCATACCACACTTCTGTTGCTTGTGTGACACTTCGGAGAGTGGTGTATTCCAAAGCACACTGAACATTTTTAGCCTTCTCCTTTGTCTTGTTAAATTCAGGCTTCAGGTACACAGAAAGTGAAGGTGTTTTTATTTTTTTAGCTACATTAATAATTTCCCTCAACCTAGGAACACCTAGAGTGACATTCTTTGCACTAACACCAGCATAGTGGAAAGTATTGAGGGTCATTTGAGTAGCTGGCTCACCAATGGATTGTGCAGCAACACAACCAATCATCTCACCTGGTGCAACTAATGACTGTAAAAATCGTGATTCTATCTCACCAATAACCCAATCAAATGCTTCTCGACTGAGCCTATATTCCTGCAACACCCTTTTACTGGCCAAAGTGCTGCGAAGCAAGATTCCAAAGAAGAGAGTGGCATTTTTTTGGGCTTCCACACTCAACAGATCCTCACCAGGAACAACCTTAAGTCTCTCCTGAAGCTTATCAACAGCTTCCACAGCCTCCATTGGGTGAATATCTGAAACCCTTCCAATTCTTGTATCAATCTTGAAAGTCTTCTGTGCATTCCAGATAAGCCTCTTGAGGTTAACAGGCATTGGCCATGTATTATCACCTGTGGTGGCAATTTCTGTTCCAAGTTGGTATCTATCTGCTTCAAGTTTTTGAACTTCAGCATCAAACACATCACGCAATTCTCGGATATTTCTCAAATCCTCAACGTGATCAGGCATCATGTAAGTAGGATTCCAGTCTTCATCATCAAATTCATATCTAAATACCCTGTCAAATTCTGCTTTCTTCATTTTGAGAGAATCCAATTTTTGCGATTCTATCCAGACAGAATCCATACCATCTTCCCCATATAGAAACTGAATGACATCCCCCAGTGAGTTCCTTACTGTACCATCATATTTGACCATAATATCCTCCATGGCCTTCACAAGTCGCCTCTGGATGTAGCCAGTTTCAGAAGTCTTCACTGCAGTATCAATGAGACCTTCCCTACCACCCATGGCATGAAAGAAGAACTCTTGTGGGGTTAACCCACGCAAGTATGAGTTCTCCACAAACCCACGACTTTCTGGACCATAATCATCCTTGGTGAAGTGAGGCAACGTCCGGTCAATGAAACCATATGGTATACGCTTACCCTCAACATTTTGCTGCCCCACACAAGCAGTCATCTGTGATATGTTAATGAAACTCCCCTTCGATCCAGCAGTGACCATTGCCTTGAGATTGTTACTCTCAGATAAACTTTTTTGGGCGCTGCTTCCTGCATCATCACGAGCTTTATTCAACACCTGCAAGATGGCAATTGTTATACTTAAAGTACACCAAAATGCACAGCTTAAGAGAATGAATACAGAATCAATTACTTGGATACCTGGTTCACTCTGTTTTCAAATGATTCCATCATAGTCCGTCCAGGTTCAGCCTCCAACTCCTTATTCTGTGCTTTCCTAATAAGATCTTTCACCTCATTTTTTGCATTTGAAATAGTTTCATTAATTTTTTCCATTGTTGATGCATCAGCAATGGTATCTCCAATTCCAATACTGAAAGCATTTTGCAAAAGCCAATAATTCACTAGCCACTGTGTATGCCCCAAAAATTTACGAGCTGCATCTGGGCCAACCTCTTCCCTGTATACATGGACAGAAGCCATGAAGCACCACAATTTTCTAAATTCATCTTTAAACAGGTGTTCAAATCAACATCAATTAGAAGATTAAATGCATATAATCTACCATTATTGGTGAGTACTATCATCAGTCATTCAGCACATTGCTTACCCAAAAGTAAAACCTCTCTTTTCTTATTCCCAAATCACTTGCATTTTTTAAAAGCAAAAGAGTTCTTAGAGCAATTAAGCACTGGTATAGACTATCCACTCAAAAATTTTAAATTTATATGAAAGGACCGGAATTTTAAATCTTTAACAAGATATCTAAAAAGCCTAAAGATGCAGGCCAAAAAATTTGGGATATCAACCAGATACTGTAAAGAACAAATGCATACCAAATGACATGTATAAGACTTCCAGAAGAAGTCCCAAGCGTTTTTTTGCAGAGAGTTCCAGAAAGCAGCTCCCCTTTTTCTATGCGGACTAATGTATCACCTGGAGTGATCATTCCTCTCTCTGAATCCATGTGCCAGGCAGCAGTTCTAATCAAATTGATCTGCTTGGGTATGATAAGGTTAAAAACCTGTTTCCCAGTCCAAAGAGGTCGTGGCTTCACAATTGTTGGAGCAGGAACTTTCCCATCGAAATCCTCCCACCACATCAAGATGTTCATGAAAACATCCTACAAAACATAATGGAGGTTAAAGTTTGGCTGTTCAAGAGAAAACTACACCACTAACATGACCAGGTAGCTGAAATATTAAATCTTGACTATCACCTTCTCTATGAAGGTATCCCTCTTGGTGATTTTGCGGCATCCTAAAAGTGTATCCTGTACAATTCCCATTACAGGTCGGTTTGATTGAGGTGACACAATGCACTTAGGCACCATCATTAGCTCCAATACTTCCGCTCTAGTTTCAAATGATTGTGGGACATGCATATTCATTTCATCACCATCAAAATCAGCATTGTATGGTGAAGTAACTGACAGGTTCAGGCGGAAAGTAGAATATGGCATAATCTTGATTCTGTGCCCCATTATTGACATTTTATGGAGACTGGGTTGACGATTAAAGAGGACAAAGTCACCATCATTTAAATGACGCTCCACCTGCAAACATGATGTAAGAGTCTAATAGAGATGATTAGAAACAAAAAACTGATTAAAAACCAGTCAAATATAAGACATTGCCTTGTAACCGAGCTCCAGATGATGATCACTACTTTTCTTCAAGTAGCGAAGATCGAGTCTTTGTCCATCATCCCTTATGATGTATTTAGCACCGGTCTTACCAGGTGGAGGATGTGGCCCATACTCAACAAGCTCCTTTAACCTGTTTTACAAAATCATCTTTAACCAAAAACCAAGAAAAATAAAGATAAGGGGGGCAAAAAAATAAAGTTTGAGCAGATACAAACCTTTCAATGTTATAAGGGGTCACAGTTTCTGGATATGTGAGATTCAGAGCAATACTCCATGGTACTCCTAATTCATCAATGTTAATGGTGGGATCTGGTGTAATAACTGTACGTGCAGAGAAGTCCACACGTTTCCCCATCAAATTACCCCTAATCCGGCCTTCCTTTGCCTTAAGCCTGCTACATATAGATTTAATTGGTCTCCCTGATCTCTGTGTGGCCTGCAAAGTAAAAAACATGCCAGATGGTAAATAAAATCTTGTGGATTCACTTCAGACTTCTACACATACATGTTTGTGTTCATGCCCATACCCGAGGCTGTCCAGGCAACTCATTGTCAAAATATGTAGCTACATGGAACTGCAACAACTGTGCAAACTCGGATATGATATGAGCAGGTGCCCCACTCCTCTCCTGTCTTCTCAGATTCTCATTGTGTCGAATTATCATTGCTAACTGATGAGTCAAATCATCCTGGATTCAGAAAAAATAACACAGGTTAAAATTTCATGGAGAATGCTAATTTACTGAATAGGAAGAAAGAAAGAAAGGGAAAAAAAAAAACCAAAAGCAAAGAAGATGACCTTCTATCAGCCATTATTTGAAAGGATCCAGCATTAACAAAAAAAAAAAAATGGAAGAGGCTTGCCTCACTCCTGGAGGATGTATCCATCATCACAGAGGGCCTCACTGGAGGTGGCGGAATTGGAAGGACTTGGAGAATCATCCAATCAGGACGTGCATACTTAGGGTCCAAGCCCAGCAACTGACAATCCTCATCACTTATCCTCTTCAAAACACTTAAGACCTGCAGTATCAAATAAGAGAAATTAGCATCATGCCCAAAGTCAATGAGGTATGAGAACTCTGAATGCAGAAAAATTACCCTTTCTGCTGTAAGGGTCTGCTTTCTCTCCACAGGTTCTGGCAGCTGTTCCTGATCATCATTTTTCTTCCTTTGAACCTTGTACTCTGCAATCATCTTCATACCTTCAATGGTAAGTTTTGGCTGCTGAGCACCACAGCCACCACGGCTCTTTTTAACTGGCTCTTCATTATCTTGACCTTGAACATCAATTTCATCCCCACCTTCACATTTAGTTTTATTCTTGCAAGCATCCAAAATCTTTTTAAGCCTGCTTTTGGGATTCTTTATTTTCAAGGCTTGCTTAAACTTGTGATCCTCCTGCAAGTAAAATTCAACAAAATATATAGAACAGTTACTCATACATGAACATCCTGGAAAAAATCTTACACGAACATTTTTTTCAAAACTTAGACAACTCGATTAACAAAGAAATCCAATCCCAGAACCAAAACCACTATCTGGGAAAAAGAAAATGCTAACATCCAGCTACAAGCAAAACTCACATTATGGAAGACTCGTACTCATATAACTGGACTTCATCTCTACCAACAATACCCTAAATACTCAGCATCCCTAATACTGAAAATTACAGCTAATCAATTCAGAGATGTACTCCTCAGACAATAATAACTGTAACCTACTAAGACCCCATCCCAACTACATTAAAAACCAGAAATCAATCAACAACTTTGACAACCAAATAAAACATGCAAATTCAAAGACATAATTGCATATTTGAGGCTATAAATGAGGCTTCACGTACTTCATCAGCCAATATCTTCGAACAATTGAAGCAAACGCATCTCATGATACTAAGCACAGTCTTCATAAACCCAATATGAAACATGGGTTTGGCAAGCTCCAAGTGCCCAAAATGCCCTGGACACTCCGCCATATTTGCCGTGCAAGTCTCACACTTCATCTTTCTATCAATAGTACCCAGCCGCGGATCACTTAATCCTCCTGGCTTTGGTTTTCCTCTTTCTGTTGTCTCACTGTGCTCAATTTGTATCACGGACATTTGCCTCTGCACACAAAAACAAAAAAGTAGTTCATATAAGCAAGAAAAATTACATAACCTACATTCATTCATTTCCCAGCTTAGAATAGAAAATAGTTAACTAGTACTGCTAATTTAACACATCAAATACTTTTCTCAGCAATCATTTTTACTATTAGTAAACAAAAAACAAACTAGGCATTGATTCATTTCCTTCTGAAAAATCCATAGTGTAACGAATACCATCAACAAAATATCTCTAAAACATACAAACAATACCAAAAACCCTAGGACTTAATTACTCCATGAAGTAAGATTCACAACAAGTACTTCTACCTACAAACAATTCCATTTATTTTCTCCTTCTCAACAACCAAAGATGCTAAAAAAAACAAAATTTCACACACAGCAACACAGAATCAAAACCCTGGGATTCACTTTTTTCCCTGGCTGAAAAGTTACAGCACACGGTGCAATATCACAAAACCTAGAACAGACAGTGGTTTCTTCCCTGCTGAAAAATCATCAAACCAGTGAACTAGTAATACTAATTAAAAATCTCCAAAGATTTTCTCAGCAAACAAACAGAACACAGCTCAGAAAACCTAGAATTCATTGTTATTTTCTTATTAAGTGAAATAGCAATTCCTAATGACTCTATCTGAAAAAACTTATGCACACACAGGGAAGCATGCTCATGAAACCCTAGCATTCAGTCGTGTTCAATTTAAGCCGTGACAGTTTGAGCTAACATTTGTAATTAAACAATTGTAGTTTCAGTTTTTTTTTCCTGTTCTTTTTCTCAGCAACCAAACAGAGTGCAAAAAGAACGAGAAAGAAAGAAGCAGGAGTAGAAGTCGGGAAGATTTACTATCTCGTCGGGGCTGAGAATGCCAAACTGAACCATGCGGACTTTAGCAACCTCCGCTGGCGAGTAAGGGAATCGCGTATCCATGATTGCGATCCAAACAAAACTTAGGGTTTCAAAAAAAATTCAAATGAAGTTCAAATAATCAAATTCGTCTTTTTTTGTTCTATCTTGTAGACTGTCTTTTCAGTAACTTTTTTTGGATTTTATAATTGCTGGAGAGTTCAAGAGGGAAGGGGGCAGAGAAGGAGATCTGCACCTTTTTCTCTTGAGAAAGAAGAGGCGAGAGCTCACGAAACAAATGGATTAGCAGCCGAGAGGGGTTATATTTATAGAGAAATCGAGGCTGAACATGGGAAGTGTATCGTGCTAACGTTCGCCGGGGTGCGCACTGTTTTACTTGAGGCTGAGGTGGTGTACTTGGTGTATAGGCCCACTGTCTGATCCGAATGGTTATCCATTTCTAAATTGGACTTCTAGTTTAGGTCCAAGCAAAGTCCTGTGGGAAATGGATTGAGTGGGCAATAGAAATTGTATCGAACCACAAAAAAAAAAATTGTAAATTACGATTGGGACCCCATCAATATCTTTTCTTGTTGGGTACAAAGAAGAAGCATATCTATTAAAAAGCTTACTCCAACCTAGTATTGCTGAAGTTGGGTTAATGGGTTAATTTGAGCGGGTTAATTTAATGATATTTTGGTGGATATCATGTTAAATTTCATAAAAATTAACACCGGTAATCCATGATTTAGTTAAAAGTTGAGTAAAACTTAATTTTAATTTTAAAAAATTCAAAGTAATTGTTGTTTTAATTGTTCTAATAGTTAAAAAAAAAAAAAATAATATTGTTTTAACATAGGTTAACATACTCCAAAAATTCAAAGTAATTGTTGTTTTAATTATTCTAATGTTTAAATTTTTTTAAAAAATAATGTTGTTTTAACATAGGTTAACATACTTCAATCTTAACCCAGATGATGAATTATGATAGGTTTTATAACTTTTCTCTAAACTCAGCAAAATAATGTCTAATATTTTATAAAAATTAATTTAAAAAATTAACATAAATTATTGTATCGTGGTATAGGTTTTATAACTTTTCTCTAAACTCAACAAAATGATATCTAATATTTTATAAAAAATAATTTAAAAAATTAATATAAATTATTGTATCCTGATCTTGTGAGATGATTTATAAAGCATGTTAACTTAACACTTTATAGGTATTTTTTTGTGTTTTTTTATCATATTTTTATAGTGTTTAACATTATCCATCTCCATAGAATACAAAAAGCTTATTTCTATCTTTCATCAAGAGTCTTTTTTCATAGAAATCAATAGATTTTGATCAGGTTATCAATCTTTTTATGCTTATTTTGACATATAAATCTCAAAAAATAAAAATCATTTTCATGCCCTAATTTAGAATCTGAGATTATTTATTGCCCTTAATTCAAAAGGAATCCAAGCTCACAATAGACCACTTCAATGTCAAAAACTAGCAAATTCAATAATTTCAATAGCCATTCTTATGAATAAAGGTCATCTATTAATAGCTAGCTGCAAGGAGTATCTATTAAAGAACACAATTGCAGCAACACATCAAAATTGGAGGTGAAACACAATTGGATCATAAGTTTTGATTTATTATGCTCAATATTATATCAATTTGATTCACTACATTGCTATAAAAAAATGTAAAAATAATATTTTATATGTATAACTATAACTATAACTATAACTATAACTATATATATATATAAAGGAGCTACATGTCCGTAATATATATATATATATATATATAAAGAAGCTATGTGTCCGTTATTAACTCAAGAAAATAAAAAGCCACAAGCATATTGTGCAGGTACATAAAAATCTAATAAAAATTTACAATGAATCATACCAACATGGTACTTGAATGTTTGTTTTTAAGCCCTAATTCAATATAAAAAGTGTATGGGACTGTTTTTCTATATTTTAAAAGTATTTTTTTTTAAAATAAATTTTTATTTTTATTTTATTTATTTTAAATTAATATATTTTTAGTGTTTTTAAATCATTTTAATATACTGATATTAAAAATAATTTTTTAAAAATTAAAAAAAATTAATAATATATATTTTTGCATGAAAAATTTATTTAAAAAATAATTATAACTACACTTTTAAATAAGTTTTTAAGGATAAGTATTAATTCAAAAATAACTTGGCTTGGAATAAAAAATCTAACCAAACCAATTTGTTTTTAAAAAATTTAACAGTATGGACTGAATAAAAGAATTAAACCAGTTATTTTAGTTTGGTTTAATTGGTTTTTATATTTATTTTTTATTTATTAAAACTAAATAAGTCTAATTTGAATTAATAAATTTTTAGTTGGTTTTCATTTACTAGACCTTTTATTTTAATTTTTCAATTTAGTTTGATTATGGTCAATTTCTAAAATCTAAAACTAAAATCAAAATGAACCATTTTTTAAAATTTCAAACTGAAATTATTCAATAAATTCAAAAAATCATTCAATTAAGTTAATTTCATGTCAGGAGATATTATGAATAATCTAGTTAATTTTCTCTAATATGATGCAGAGGCCTCCTAGACTTTTGTCATATTTGGTGGTAGTTGTGGGCTTTATAGTTGGGTTCTTCTTTCCATCGTTTTTTTTTAATTATTATTTCTTGTAATTTTAGTTTCAGACCCAATCACACAAATCAATTTATTTAAGAATATAATTATAATTATTTTTTTAAAATATATTAAAATAATATTTTTTATTTTTAAAATCAGTATATTAAAACAATTCAAAACATATATAAATTATTAATTTTAACAAAAAAATAATTTAAATATTTTAAAAATATAATTTGCATCATATTTCATCACCGTATATATTGTAGGGGTGCTGCTTAATTTTAAAATTAGGTGGGATGATATTATAGAATTAAGTGAAAATATTATAAGAAAAAAAATTCTTGAAAAAAAAATACATTTTAAGAATTTTCCACATCAAAGTTATAAAAAAAAAAGAAAAAGAAATGGAGGCTGAGAGGGACCAATCTAAAATCAACAAATACCTCAAGGGCCACTGATGCAATTAACACGTCAATCCATTCCATAGTCAAAAGGAAGCTTCGAAACGACGCGCTTTGGAAATTTCCATTCCACTTCTTTTCATCATCATTTAACTTTTCCTGCCGAACCAAAACCAGGAAACAAGTCTCTCTTCTGTTCCAAGCCAAAAAAAAAAAAAAAATCCAAAAATGGCGTCCATCTACAATTGCATAGAATGTGGAACAAACCTGAATCTAAACACAAACCATCTCTACCCACAAGACTTCTACTTTGAAGCAGGAAACAAAGGCACCCTTTCATTTTCTTCAATAGACTCGACAAAATTTAGGTTTGAAAAAGAAGACAAGATCAGGCCATTTTTTGAGACGGTGAACTACTGGGGCATTCAAAGAAAGAGAACGAAGATTAAGTGTAATAGCTGCGGCTGTCTTGTTGGTTATATTTATGATGATGGGCAGCCTTCAACTATTAGTCCTGGTCAGTTTGGTCTTGGTCCTAGTCAGGCTATTCCAAGGGCTCCTAGGTATAGGTTCAAGACTAAGGCTCTTAGGATTGCTTCTGAAACTTGAAGGGTTCGTGATTGATCGAGGCTTATTGGGTTTTTGAGTTTTTGAATTTTGTGTAGGATTTGTACGGTATGGAGGGGTTTTAGATGGATTGGTGGTTTGAGTTCATGGGCCCTTGATTATTATTGTTGTTGTTTCTGTACTAGTAGCAAATTCGATGTGAATTTTTTTCTTATAGTGTTAAAATCATGTTTTGATGATCTCTGATTCTTGTATGTATGTGTGTGTATATATATATATATATATATATTTGTATATCTGTCGATAAAGAATAAAGCTTTTGTTTCTGGGAATCTAGTGTTCTATTTATCGCTGTTGTGATTCTTATTTGTGTTATGGATGCAAATCAAATGCTTCTTATCTCAACAATTGAATTTAATTATTCTGAGGAAATCAGGGCTCTAAAAGAGCAGGATATATATGAAGAGTAATGTAATAGATCTATGACAAATTGTTGTTGTTTATCGGTTATGAGATTACAGCGAACACACCAGTCGCTTTCTTATGAAGGAAGGCTTGATACTGGTTGAATTTCAGGGATATCAAGTTTGAGGGACACCAGTGTTGTTGATATTTATTGTTCCATCAGGTTAAAGCTAGATTTTAAAAGCAGCATGTTCTTCCATTATGTTTATGAGGTTTTGACATGTGGGTTTTGGCAGATGTCTCTCCACCATGGAAGGGATATGGTTACTTTCATGAAAGTAAACTTGGGAAACGAAATGCTGGTTTGAATTAGTCTTGGCAAACATCATTTTATACATCACTTGTCAATTTGGGAATCTTAGGCTGTACCTACCAGTCAATTTTTCTTGTCTCAAGCTGTAGGACCCTATTTGTGCTGTTATGTACTCAGCTAACCTGGTCTTTCTATAAAAAAAATAAAGTGGTTAATACAAGAAAGAATTGTGACTGGATTGCCAATCTACCGGTCAGTTGGAAAATTAGGTTGGATGAGCAGCTCTTGAGGGTTGGTTGTGGAACTAGCTCATCATGGCTTTGGTTTTTATATCTTGACACTCTTCTATTTTGTGATCTCATTGATAGTAGTGGAAAATTGACAATTGATCTGCCTAAAGATGAAGCAAACGAAAGTGGAAACTGGAGATGTCTGTGGAAAGATAACACAGTCAATACCTCCACCCCCTCCCCCTCCCCCTCCCCTTCCAAGGTTCTGGGTTCGGAAGAAGGTTACTGAGAGTGTTACAAAGCAAGAGATTGCAAAGTTTTGGAGGAAAAAGCTTACTGAGGAGGAGGATCACTTCCTTGCTGCTATCAAGGCTGCTGCACGTATCAGAGCTAGAAATCTCTCTGTAAGATCATATAACTAACATTTGAAACATTTCATTCATTATTTCCTGGGTATCTAAAATATAAGAGGAGGAAAAGATATCAATGATTGTTCCAATTGTGAGAGTATTTTGGTTCACTTGAACAAAATAAATCAATCTTAAGACATGTTTTAACTCCTAGCTAAGAAGCTAATATTGTTTGAGATTCAATATAATAAATTCCTGTTCTCAAGCTACCTGCCTATGACCAGCGGCTGATTGTCAACTTTGATGGACAAGAAATCTCAGCGAGGGAGCAAACGTTTCAGATTTTCAAGGCTAATTCAAATAGCCTCCAGGGATGAACTTATAGAGGTTGCAAAACCTCAATTTGAGTTG